ATTTTTAACTTTATTATGCTATAACTTTTTGAAAAATGTATGAATCATTACAATTTTTTTATGAGAAGTAGTATTTATATAGATCTTTCATTCGACATACTTTTTTTTTAAATCGGACCATTTTCCTTTATACGAGGGGGGTTCAAATCTAAAAAATGCATGTATNACAGGGGGGGATTCAAAATGACAACTTTTTCACAAAAAATTGACTTTTTCAACTTAAATTTTGAAAGTGTTCCGGAAGGTCTGACATTTTTATATATATCTTAAATTAAAGCTAATGTAATATACTTTATAATGGTAAAAAAAAATTTCGGACTTTATTTTATCTTCATGGTGAAAACAGACATTAAACTTAATAAAAAAAATACGATTTTTGTAAAAAAATTCTTTTTTATATTTTTTATATTTTTATATTTTATATAATTCTTTTTTTTATAGATGCACGATGTCTTTACCTATCATTTGTTATATTTTATTTATAAATCTGACTTTTTACCTACCTACAGGGGGGGATTCAAAATGACAACTTTTTCACAAAAAATATACTTTTTCAACTTAAATTTTGAAAGTGTTCCGGAAAGTCTGACACTTTTAAATATATCTTAAATTAAAGCTAATGTAATGTTCTTTATTATGTAAAAAAAAATTTCGGACTTTATTTTGTTTTCACGGTGAAAATGGCTACCGAATGCTATTATTGTGTGAAAATTCTCGATTTTATTTTTTACATTTTTAACTTTATAATGCTATAACTTATTGAAAAGTGTATTGATCAATATCATTTTTTTATGGGAAATACTATATTTTAATAATCCCTTTTTCATTCGACATACTTTATCTTAATTAGGATATTAATAACGAACTAGAAGATCATGTTGCTTTTGGTATAATCCACCATTTTTTTAAAATTAAACACTATCTAAAGATTTGCATCGAAGCGTTTTTTTTTTATAGTGATTTTAATCACTGTCAGATATCATAATACTTGATCCAACTATGCCACGTCACCACTGTTGCGCGATCCCCCTGTGCTGGGTTTTTTTAAATTTATAATATGTATAAAAGTGTCAGACTTTCCGGAACATTTTCAAAAGTCAAGTTGAAAAAGTTAATTTTTTGTAAAACAGTTGTCATATTAAATGACAGATAGTGTTTAATTAAAAAAAAATTGTGGATTATTCCAAAAGCAACATGATCTCTTATTTCCTTATTTAAATTAAGTATTTAATATACTTTTATGGCAAATGTATATATAAATTAAAAGGCTTGATGCAAAACTTTTAAAAAAAAAAAAAAAAATTGTTTGTTATTTATAAATAAAATGACTGGTAAGGAATTTTCATGCGAGACCAAAATACAGAGTGTTCAGTAAGTCAGGAAGCGGGTTTCTATTGTTCTCATTGTTTGTAACAATGAGAATAATAGATACCCGTTTCCTGATTTACTGAACACCCTGTATACTTTTCTAAATCAATTTCAAATATCAAAAAGATTTCAAATCTTCAATTAGAGTTTTGCATATAGCCTAAATAATAACAAAACCCTTCTAATTATTATAACAAATACTTATGTTTGATTATTATGCTACATATGAATAATAAATAAACATATTTTAATTATAAATTAGTTGAAAAAGTTCTACTTTCTATACCCATATTAAGTTTTGAACCACCCCTGTATAAAAGGAAATGGTCTAATTTAAAAGAAAGTATGTCGAATAAAAGAAGTATATAAATAAAATTTATCATAAAAAAATTGTATTGATCCCATCTATTTTTCCAAAAGATATAGAAGTTTAAAGTTAAAAATGTTAAATATGAAATTGAGAATTATAACACAATAATAGCATACAGAAGCAAATATCACCACGAAGACATATTAGCTTTAATTTAAGATATACATAAAGTGTATATAAAAGTATCAGTATTTGCATAACATTTTCAAAAGTTAAGTTGAAAAATTTGTCATTTTGAATTTTCCCTGAGGGCAGGTAAAGATTTATAAAAAAAATATTCAAAATGATATGTTTTATGTATGTTTTAAAAAAAATTGTATTGGTACATTCATACAAATTTTTTAATTTTTTTGGAGATTTTCCTCATTAACGGGGAAAGAGGGAATTTTTTTTTAATTTTTGAGAGTTATGTCTTCGACTAGATACGATTTGTGATCTTTTGACGTATTGTTGAAAGTAATCGGTCGAGTGAGAGCTGAGAAAAAGTGGTATCAGGCACAAAAAAAACATCGTAGTTAAATTAATACCTTCTTAGCTTAGTATAAGTTGTAATTTGAATCATATACTAACATTATGTGTTAACGCTGTCAATATTAGAATAACATTGATGACGAAATACATGTTGTTATTTTACTTAGTATATTATGTAGCTTAAATGTTTTGTGAATATTATAGAGTTAAATATTTTAAAGTATAATTTGAAATCGTAAAAAGTATTAGCCGTAAGCTATTAATAATTTATAAAACTTACCTAAGTCTGGGCACCTCTATAACAACTTTATCATTGTACATTAACCAAGTGATATTTGGTTGAGGATAGCCGTGTCCTTGACAATTTAGTAATGTACCCGTAGTATTGGAAAAATATACTGAATTAGGTGGTTCGATAGAAAAAGACGGTGCCTCCATAGAACTCATTTGCCACGAAGATGACATTATTTCTAATATATTACACGTAAAGAAAATTATTATTAAAATTTATTAAATTAAATTTTTAATTAAAATTTATGTTAGGTCTGTGTAAAAATATATAAAATACTAGCTTAATAATCTCTAAATATTTTTGGAGTGGTACTATAAAAAAATTTCTTCCTTTAAAAATATTTNTAAAACTATTCTATAGAGTTTAGAGGAATAACCACAAAGATTTTAGATCGAGCTTTTTTCTTTTGATATATGTGCATTACTTGATCCACGTATTTTGCTATAGTTACTAAAAATAATTATAAATAACAAATCTTTTATAACTTAATATGATCAGATGAGGATCTAGAATTTGTTTTTAATGGAATCTTAAAAAAAAATTAATGTAATTTTAATTGTAACATTTTATTTCAATTAAAACTATAAATAAAAATAAATTATAATCCAAAAAGGAGTAATAATTATTTATAATACGCAAACACTATATCTAAACTATAATAACATCAACGTTATTCTTTTTTAGTTTTCGTTCTGACATTTTGAATTATCTAATTTTAATATTTTAGTGTTTTTATTGGTATTATTATAAAACTTTTTTTTTTTCAACTAATATTATCTGATTGTTACTATTATTTATAATTTAAATGATCAATAACTTTTATTTGGATAATCATTGTGGATTACAGAAGTTTTGTTATAATATAATAAAACCATAATTTATTAATTAATCTTAACTTGAATTAACTTCAATGAAATAATAATTTTATTTGATAGTTTTGAATAACATTTTGGAAATATTTAAAATGCGACACATTTTTATGTGCACTATCAATGTTCATCTTAATTTGATTTAAATTTCATATCTCAGAGTAAACGTTGCCACTCTCGCATATCAAGTTAATTTTGACTTATCCATTTACGCATTGTGAGCACTTATTCATTTGTATGTCAATCTCATCAGTATTCATATCGAATAAATTGAGTAGAGTATAATGATTGATAGCAAAGCGTGAGAGGGTAGAAAAAGTTCTATAGATGGTGAAATCATTATGTTATCGAAAGTTCCTTTTGTCAAGACATTTTTAACCCTCTTTCGCTAATATGGTTCGAAAAATGAGAAGAATAGTAATCATTTGCCATTCTTTCCATCAAATATTTTGCGATCTTGTTTTATTTCTGTTTTTCTTTTACATTATAAAATTTTTTATTTTTTTTTTATTAATGAGAGAAGACAAAATAATCCGGAACTCTTTGGTTGTTGTTGATATGACTACTATATGTATGTATATATATATATATATATACTATATATATATATATATACTATATATATGTCAACTTTCATTGCATTCGATAGGTTCTTTTTAAGGTCTTTTGATTTATGTTTTCCCTGTTTATATTTAATTAATTAAAAAGGTAACAAAAGTAAAGATTTAAATTTTTCCTTATTAAATGTATGCTATAGTGTATTTTTAAATTGTTAGAAAAGTACGTAGAAAATGTTTTTATTAAATTAACTCGTTCAGTTGTAAGTTATTTCATTTTTTTGTTAATTTGTCAAAATATTACAGAAACTTTAACTATTTCAATTTTTTTTTTACAATTTTACATTCATAGATTGATTTTAAAAATATGTTGTATTATTTTCTGTATTGTAAAAAAGTTTATATAATAAATATTAGTGATGGGAAATATCGAATGATAACTATCAAACTAATCCGATAGTTGTCCACTATTCGAACTATTTGATAGTCATTCAAAAAATATTCAAATAGTAAAAATATTTAATACCTACATAATATATTTAGATAGTTTTAAAAACTAATCGATAGTTTATTCGATTAGTTTTTAAACTATAGTTTAAATTATTTGAAAATGTCCATCGCTTATTTTTACTAATATTAATTGTATAATTATTTATTTTAAGTATTCATTAATTATCTTATTATTACAATTAATTGTACTTAATAAAAATTTTAGGTAGAACCAATCGAATATTATTTAAAACTATTTGATAGTTTATTCGAATAGTTATTCAAATACTATTTAATAGTTTAAAATATTCAAAAATGCCCATTACTAATAAATCTTATTCAATTATTGATTTTTAATTTTTTAAATGGCTTAACAACTTTATTTTCTAGTGATTGTTATAAAAGAGAGTGGAACAAGTTAACATCCTTAACTAGTTAAAGAGTTAATTTTTTTAAGTGGTTTACCACTTGCATAACGACTAGCTATGGTAGCAAGGATCACTACCACCTAGGCGAAGTGTCACACTTATCAGGTATGATTACCGGTCCATAGGTGGAATTTAATTTTAAGATAATTAAAAGTGTAATTTAAGTTAATATGTTGTTTGAATGCAGCGCCCGATGGTATTCACGCGGGTTTGTTAGCATTCGTGGTTTTATTTTGTCTTAAGTCTTTAGCTTTATCGAGGATAAGGAATAAGGTGAGTGTACAGTATGTTTGAATGTAGAATGAATATTACAATATAAAATTATAACAATTAAATGTATTAAACAAGAAATATATAATCTTATATACACCAATGTGGATAGGGGGACACTTAATACTAGTGCCACAAAGGTGATATAAACAAATTATAAATTATACAAGTGAGTAAGTCTTAGAAAGATACATGAACGAGCATTATACTTATCGGATAATTGAAATGACTGATGATAATGTTGAATATTGAAAGGATAAATTGAAGTCGAATGCAAGTGACTGACCAACGTGTACAATATGCTGTAAGCAGTACTGTGATGTATCTCAGAAAATATATAGACTATATATATATTTTATATATAATATATATTATAGCGCACAGAGTACGACATTCACAAAGGTGATAATTTTCCTTTTGCAACAAAAACGAGTACAAAATTACTGGCTCGCAAGCGCCATAGAGTAAATAGCAGAAGAAGCGTTAAGATGGCGGCGACAATGCAGAGATAGAGAGAAGACCAACAACAACTCGATGTAACACAACAATAACATGAATAATCACAACACAATTTCTCGACAACATGTTTGACCGATGTGTATCTAACATATGTATAAAATGATTATAATATCTCGTGGTATTATTGTAATAACAATGTGTTGTTTTAAAGTAATTAATATAATTATTATTTAAAAATTATGTCTATCATATATATATTATCAGAATTATCAATTTAAAAATCGCGCAATTTTAAAGTGCATTAGGCAGCGGTCGTATTTCACCGATCGTATACGAATGCACAAAAACACAAGACGATGCACTTGCGCGTACTACGACGAAAATATGGACTGTGATCGAGCATACTTCTTATTCATTTTACTATGCACTCTAGCATGGTAAATGACAGAAGCAGGATGGATAAGAGCCAACACCGATCTAACGGCAATTTCAAATCGATAACGACCAGTCTTTTGGAAGGGATCAATACCGATAAACAATTCGATGTTAATTATATTTATTTTCTTTTGTCACCTTATCTAGCGGTCAGCGACAAAAATAATGAGTGGTTGACACCGCTATGTGCAGGAAAAACTTCTTTAACGTGATAAAATGAATAAGTAGACATAACAAAAAATTATAAACGGTCCACCTTCGAATTGTGACGTTACAAACTTAACTAGTTAATTATTTTTCTAATAAACTTTTTAACTTAACTAATTTTATTTTCCGTTGAAATAACTTAGCTTTTTTTAGTTAATTAGTTGAAATAACAGTTAAGCTAATTTCAATATTTCATAAAAAAAATGTATGTCTTTATAAGCTACGTACGTGGTTTAATTTAAAAAGAAATGAAAACCCCCCTCCCCAAATATTATATTTATATAACAATAAATATAATTTTCTGGATTTTTCCAGTATGTGATTTTTAACTCATTTTTTTAAATAACTAGTTTTAAAGATAAAACAGTGCAACCAACACAAATATGTATAAAACAAAAAAAAAGTTTTTTGTTATCATTAATATTTTTTTCCAAAGTTTAAAAGGTATGATGAGTTGTATGATAGGTTAGGAACAAAGGAAGACGAAACAAAATTCTACGCACTTGCAAAAGTAAGAGAAAAATGTGGGTGTTATCGAGTGATGATGTGAAAAAAAAAGGAAAAAGTATTTTGAAAAATTACTGAATGAGGAGTATCCAAAAGAGGATATCTTGTGGAACGAATGACTGGTGATTTAATTAGTGAGAAAGAGGTATGGGAGACTGTGGCATCAATGAAAAAGAATAAAACAGTAGGACCAAATGAAGTGCCAGTAGAAGTATGGGAAATATTTGGCGGTGTTCGCATAGGTATTAGATAAGAGAAAAATAAGAGAAATATCAGTTACAAAAAACCAGTTTAGTTTTTACCTGGAATGTCAATGATGAAGCCAATTTTTTGTGTAAAACACTAATAGAAAAGTATAGGAAAATTATGAAAAAGCTATGTATGGTAATTATATATTTGGAGAAAGCGTATTATAGAGTACCGAGAGAGGTTTTAAAGTATGCATTAATAAAAAAAGAAGTTCCGAAAAGGTACATTAATATAATAGAAGATATGTATGATGGCACTTGTATCAGGATAAAAAGCGTAAGAGGAGTAACAGAAGATTTTAGGGTAAAAGTAGGAACGTACCAAAGTACATTACGCCATTGTGTATTTTCTATAGCGATGAATGAAATATAAGGAGAAGTAACGTGGTACATGTCGTTCGCTGACAATATAATGTTAGTAGGAAAAAAAGGAAGGAAATTAATCAAAGGCTAGATGTGTAAAGATCGGCTCTTGAAAAAAGGGATTAAGAATAAGTAGAAGTAAGACAAAATATATGGAGTACGAGTTTGACATAGGAGAACTCGAAGTAGGAGAAATGAGGATAACAGTGATAATAAGTGTGGATGTAATAGAAAAGATGGAATTTTCTAAGTATTTAGGATCAGTTGTGCAAAAGAATGAAGGTATTGAAGATGATGTAAGACACAGGATTAAGTGTAAGTGGTTGAAGTGGAGAGAAGCGTCTGGTGTGTTACGCGATTAGAGAATTCTAATGAGGCTGAAAGGTAAGTTTTATAAGACTGTAGTGAGACCAGTTATAGTGTATGCTTCAGAGTGTTTGGAGTAAGTGCTAACACTCACAACCTTTATGGAATCTCGATTCCAAATGAAACTTAAAACCAGTGTAGCTTTCTCGAATCTTTCTTTATCTTTCTTTTTAGTGGCATACGAACAGTATGGTGAGTCGGTCTTTTCAATAAGTTCACTAAGGTCATTCCATGAAAGATATTATTTACGCTTCTAGATAGAATGCTCACAAACCGTTGTTTCCAAGTTATTTTGGGTAATAAAGAAAATAACTAGTGGACAGTAATTAATAATCTTTTACAAGTATCGATACTTGTCCCGACCTTTTTTAATTTCTACATACTACTCGACAAGGAAGGACTTTAATTCCAATATACAGACGATATTGAAATTGCTTATCAAAGCACTGACTTAGAGGAGGGTAAAATAGTACTTACTGAAGAATTCATTACTATGAAATAAATAGTTTTTTAAATGGCGTTTAAAACTGAACCCTGTCAATACCGAAGTACCTGTTTTTTATCTAAACAACAAAAAGACTGGAGAAGGCTAAAAGTGACATCTAAGGAAGTATAAATGAAGCACGATTACACGCCAAAATACCTAGGCATAATGCTGGACCGTAAGATAAAATTTAAAGAACATCTTGAAAAAACCAAGAAGAAAGTACGATTTCAAGTTAATATAGTTCAAATACTAGCTGGTACTAATTGGGGTTCTGACATTAAAACACTACCGACGGCAGCACTAGCGTAGCATATAATACAGCTGAATATGATGCTCAATTGTGGTGCAACGGTATACACGCGAAGAGAGATGATACACAATTACATAGTGTGATAATAATGATTAGCGGCATAGTGAGTCAACTCAGTTACAGTGGTAATACCGGTATTACCAACATAGTTCCACCAGACCTACGAAGACAGGAAAAACTTATCAAAACTATAAAGAAAGCAAGTATTAGGAGGAGCTCATTAATAGCCAAAAGATTGGAAAATGTGTCGAAACATAGACTAAAATCAAGGAAACCCCCTTGAAGACGGCCAACGACCTAATAAGATCAGGGTTTGAAATTGGTAAGTTTTGGCACGATAAGTGAGCTCAATCTACTCTACAAAACAAAAACCTGGTACTTGACTCCAACCAAGAAGTTACAGGCATTGAAGGAATTTACACAATAACACCAAAGGCAGTAAAATGGATAAAGGAATTGGACGTGCGTTTTTAAATTTACACTTTATATCAAAATAATAATAGTGCAATAACAAAATACTAATCGTTTTAATTAGTTATTATTCATTCCCGTGTTATCATTCTATATTATTCTATTGTATATGTTAAACTTCTTGTAATTTTATACTAATTTTTATTATGACTGGATATCTGTAAACAAAAATTAGATTGCTGTAATGCTGTAATTTTAATTTGTGTTCAAGTTATATGAATAAATATATTCAATTTCTTTATGACAAAATTGAATACATAACATACAAACTATACATTTTAATTTATAAAAAAGGAAATTTTTATATTTATATAATACTTAAATCATTACCTGGGACGTAGTATAGTCCAAATAACAAAAAATTCATCCATCGTAAATTCATATCAAATAAACCTAAAATAAATTAACAATTAGTTACAACTTATAGAAATATTTTATTAGATTTTTACACTATGTTGTTAATTATACATAAGAATAAAAATAAATCAAAATTTTTTTATTTTAATATTGTTAATTTGAAATCATAATAAAAATAATGTGAAAATTAAAATTTTTTAAAAGGATTAAGGTTAATTAAAATTTAACGTATGCTCTATAAGAAATAATTCAATAATTGCTTTATCGTCAAATGGCCCAACTTGGGGACTTATTAAAATTGGGGCATTTAAATATTCTACAGGTTTCATACTTTAATTTTTGTGAACAAATATATTGTGTTTCTTAACAATAATTAAAAACATTTTACTAGTGCTGTAGATTGATACAATTGAAAAAATATAAATATTTAACTGCCACAATTTATAATACAACCGTCGTAAGTTAGCCCATTTGACGGTACTACGGTATGATACTTTTACTATACACGTTACTTTTATACACGTAATGTGTGACACGTGTAAATTAATTAAAATATGCAAGATAAGTGTTCACAGTACAAAATTTGTTAAATACTAAAAATATTGCTCACTCCATGTTAATATCAAATTAATAAAATAAAATTTTTATTTTTATTTTGACGTATATATTATAAAAATATTTGCATTATACATCTTTTTCATTTTTTTAAAATAGGGACTTTAAAAATTATCAATAGTTCATAAATAATATGTTTTTCTTCACCGTAAAAAATTTACAAAAATATGAGATAGCATACAGTCATCTAACCTTTATTGAAATTTACAAAAAAATATAGATAAATTTATTAAAATTATTAGTAAAATTGTAACAATGTTTCTTTTCCTAAAGTTTTGTAATACTATAACACCAAATAAATAATTTTAATACCCGGATTTTAGTATTTAAAAAAAAAGTGAATATGAAATAATTTAAGATACCCTAAGTACCAACATATTTCATTATAGTCACAATAAAAGTGTATATTATGCTTTGTTGAACATTATTTTAACCAAAAGTTTCTCTCAGATGCTATCATCGTAAAAGATGTTTTTCGTTCTTGTTAAACTAGCCATTGGCCATAAACCGTACTATAGTCTACTTTGGTATTTTTAAAGTAGTAAATAGAGCGAAAATAATTTAACAATAGAAATTTGGTGCAATATTGAGAAAAGCTACTAGACGAAAGTCAGATATCTGTAGCTATGGCGCCAGTGCTTTTAAAAATAAATAAAAAATCGATACTATTTTTATATTATAAAATCAAATTATGTACCTGATATATTTTTATTATTGGTGTCAGACACGAATTTTGTAAAAAAAGAATAGTAAATAATTCATCTATCTAACAACTGTATCAATTCCATTTAAATTTTCGTGACTAAAAAATTACTATCGGATTTTAGGCTGAATAATGAATAGAGTGCAGAAATACCCAGTGATTAAAATAATCAAACTAATGTCCCCTCTCCCGTCTTTATTTTAAAATGTTAATAAAAATATTATAAAGTGAATTTTACAATTTAATCCAACCTAAATTCATGCACCGTGTTATGAAGTATTTATTGTATTACAATTTATATTAAATCTAAAAAATAATGCGAAATATACAACAACGAAATCTGAATTAGGAAGTATATTAGAAGAATTTGAAAAATGTATATATATATTTTTTTTTTGCTGCATTTTGATTATAAGTATCAGCGTTGATGGAACGATTTAAAGAAGTTTTTCTGATAAATTATTTATCACATTTGTTTATAAAAAAATCTTAGTATAAATAATCTTTAATTTTTGAACCAAAAAGAAATCTATGGTTTAAATATAAAGTTTCTTTTTGTTCACTTTTTCTCAGATGTCGCCGGACTGATTTCTTTTAACGATATGTCAAAAGATCACAAATCGTAACTAGTTGAAGACATTGCCTATATAAATTGAAAAAATTGCATTTATTACCTGTAAATGGGGCAAATCCCCCAAAAATACGGTTTTTAAAATTGATAAAGTTTTACATTTTTTTCAAATTTTATTCTGATAAATAAATAAATCAAAATAATTTTCTTTTATATAAAAACCTTAGGTATTTATCTTTTATTTGTCATCATTTTTTGAAATTCTGACCCTTTATGTGCTGACAAGGTGGATTCAAATTAGTAACTTTTTTACAAAAGTCAACTTTTTCAACTTCACTTTGGAAAATTTTCCGGAAATACTGCGATTTTTAAACATATGTTAAATATAATTTTAACCTTGTGAACTTAAATCCTTAAATTCTATAAATTTAAAAAAATATCTCAAAATTATACTACTGTAAAAAATGGTGACTTCAAAAATACTTTTAGCTTCGATACGAAGCTGAGAAGATATTGGTTTTACTATGATATGTTTTCTTTTGTGTCTGTTACCACTTTTTCTCAGCTCTCACCGAACTGATTTCTTTCAACGATACGTCAAAAGATCACAAATCGTATCTAGTCGAAGACATTACCCTCAAAAATTGAAAAAATTTCCCTCGTTTCCCGTAAATGGGGGAAACCTCCAAATAAAGTACAAATTTAAAAATCGCTAATTTTTGGAATTTTTTCTTTTTTTTTTACTAAAAACTGCCGTAACTTTTTTAAAAATGAATAAATATAATTTTTTTTTTATAGATGCTTGATGTCTTTACCTATCATTTGCCATATAATTTTTTGTAAATCTAACACTTAACCTGCCCACAGGAGGGGATTTAAAATGACAACTTTTTCACAAAAAATTAACTTTTTCAACATAACTTTTGAAAATGTTCCGGAAGGTCTGACACTTTTATATATATCTTAAATTAAAGGCAATGAAATATACTTTATTATGAAAAAAAAAATTTTACCTCTGGACTTGTCTTCGTGGTGAAAATAGACATCAAATTTAATAAAAAATTACGATTTTTGTAAAATAATTTTTTTTTATATTTGTAACTTAATAATGCTATAACTTTTCGGAAAATGTATGGATCACTAAATTTTTTTTTTTTATCATTTGGCATATATTTTTTATAAATTTAACCCTTTATCTACCCACAAGGGGGGATTTAAAATTACAACTTTTTCACGAAAAATTTACTTTTTCAACTTGACTTTTGAAAATGTTCTGGAAAGTCTGACACTTTTATATATATCTTAAATTAAAGATAATGTAATATAATTCATTATGAAAAAAAAAAAATTTGACCTCTGGACTTGTCTTCATGGTGAAAATGGCTACCGAATGCTATTATTGTATGAAAATTCTCGATTTTATTTTTTACATTTTTAACTTTATAATGCTATAACTTATTGAAAAGTGTATGGTTCAATAAAATTTTTTTATGGGAAATAATATTTTTTAATAATCCCTTTTTCATTCAGGATATTAATAAGAAAATAGCAGATCATGTAGCTTTTGGAATAATCCACCAATTTTTTAAAATTAAACACTATCTAAAGATTTGCATCGAAGCGTTTTTTTTGATAGTGATTTTAATCACTGTCAGATATCATTATACTTGATCCAACTATGTTACGTCACCACTGTGACGTGACCCTCCTGTGTTGGGTTTTTTTTATTAAATATATCCAAATTAATAGGAGTATAAAATTTGTTTTAATAGTATTAATGTATTAATACTATTAATTAATAGTATTAATGAATTGCACATTAAAATAATATCAATAAAATGAAATATTTTTTAATCATATAGATCAAAAATAATTTGTTAAAACATATTTTTGCACCGATTTCAAATCTGTAAATAGATATTTTCCATCCCCTCTTTTTTTGTGTTTATTGTTAATTTATAAAAACGTGTCTTTATATTTAATAATTGATTATGATTTTTAACAAGTTAAAAATAATCCGTGCAAAATTTTAATTCAAAAGGTCATTTTTAACTTATTTTTTTGATACTATAATGTTGATTTTTATGAAAGTTTATAATTTAAAAATGTTGAACTTTCAAACACTATTTAGCTCAACTTGCATATTTAGAATTTATAACATTATAATAGAAAATTTTATGTATAATAAAAAATTGTATTTTTTAGATTGATATGTGATCAGGAACTTATATAATTACTATTAATAGTAAATTTATGAGGAAAACGCAACATTTATTAAAATCACTATTTTTTTTTGTAATAAATTATTTAAATCGAAGTCTTAGTAAACATTTCTATAAAACTCTTGTTGATTAAATATATGCTACAATTGAAATATTTCGAAATATTATCTATATAGTAATATCTTATAGTATTCTATAAAATACAGATATTTAAAAGTATTCAGTGCCTAATTTCACTTATGATTTCGTCCGCTGTTCTGTTATTTAATTTAATTTTAGCCTATTTTTTTTTTTATATGCTAATACTCAATTTTAACTAAAAAAACATTAAAAATCAGTGGTGATGGAAAAAATCTAACTGCAGATTTCAAATAAGCGTGAAAAATTGCTCAAGAAAAGTATATTTTTTATTCTGATGAAAATTCCTTGTAAACCATATATTCATAATTAACAACAAATTATATTCTGAATCAAGCCCTTCAATTTTTATACACATTTGCCATAAAAATCAATTTATAATTTTTTATAATTTCTCTGTAAAAATTACGATAGTAAATTATTAAATATCAATATTATATTTATTTGCTATAAGAAATATTTATTCATATATTATACTTATAAATCATAGAACTATTAATTAGGAATAATAAAAGAAATAGAAGTTCATTTTTATTTTGGAATAATTCATCAATTTCTTAAAATTAAACAGTAACTACAGATTTGTATCGAAGCTTTTCTTATAATAATGATTTTAATTACTATCAGATATCATTTATTAAAAGTGTTCAGAATATAATGGGAATTTTTAAATTTTGTCAGTTTGGAGAGTCTAATTATCACAATTTTATTTTTATAATTTTGATATATATGTTCCTGAAGTATGATAAAATTTTCATCTGGATTCATTTTTTAATTTGTCAGTGGC